GTGGTGAGGGTCAGTGTTGGGTGGCTGTAGCAGGACCGGTGAGGGCCAGGGACCCTCCCCCACCTTCCCAGGGTGTTCTCAGATGTTACCTGGTGGGGAGCAGGGGACCGCAGGCCTGGAGCCTTCCATGATTCAGAGAGTGTGTGGGGCTCCAAGGAGCTAAGCTCCTGTGACTGAGAAATTGAACTCTTGTTGCAGTGGTGGTGGGGAGGGGGAGGTTTACCCTTTAGTTGTGGTCCATGGGCTTCTCACTGTGCTTGCTTCTCTTCTTGTGGAGCGCAGGCTCTAGGGCCCTCAGCCTTCAGCAATTGTGGTGCATGGTCTTAGTTGCTGCTTGGCATGTGGGATCTTCTCGGACCAGGGACCAAACCTGTGTCCCCTGAATTGGCAGGAGGATTCTTGACCACTGCCCCACCAGGGAAGCCTTAAAAAGGAGTTTTATTTGAGCCAAACTGAGGCCTAGCCCAGGAGCCTACTTCCCAGATGATTCTGAGGCACTGCTTTATATCTTGACAGAACCAAAGAACATCAGACAAGTCAGGGATCTATTTCAAGGGAAAAGATACACCTGCACAGCAAGTCAGCATGACCTTGCACTTGGGAAGGGAGTCTTATCCTCAAAGGTGGAGCAGCGTGGGAGTCCCGGGAAGGCAGGCATTTCATCTTTATTTTTAACATGGATGCTCTTTACTTTTGGCCAATGTGTGCTTTTCTCTACTAATTTAAGCAAATGTGTAATGTATGTTTGACAGACCAAAACCAGGTTATTGTAGTTGCATACAATTCAAGTTAACTCGCATACAAGACAGAATGACTTCCCTACATCCCAACACGTGAAAGTTCCTGTTATCAGCTTCCGTTCAGCGTTTCCCTACAATTTCCCTCAATACTTCAGCCCAAGCTCCACTATATAACTATGTCTCTGAAAAGGTTAGATTTAACCTTAAGTAGCGTTTAGAAGGGGCTTCCCTTCCCTTGGGGCTCAGTGCTAAAGAATCTGCCTGCCAAGACCGGAGACAATCCTTGGTTGTAGCGGGTTCAATCCCTGGGGTGGGAAGATCCCCACGAGAAGGAAATGGCAACCCACTCCAGTACTCTGGCCTGGGCAAACCCATGGACAGAGGAGCCTGAGAGGCTACAGTCCATGAGGTCCTAAATGAGTAGGACACAACTGAGCGACTAAGGCCACCACCACCGCAACAAACTTTTGGAAGTCATCAAAATATAAGCCATTATCTGGGGACTTGAATTCTAAGAGACGCTTCCTTTCTATCAGCAGGTGGCGCTGTTGCATGAGGCTGCGTTTCTTCTGCTGAAGTTCATCAGAGGGACCAGGTCTGAACCAGTGTATTTAATTCATGGATCAGATTTAGAAAAATAGTAACCACCTTAAGGGAGTGATGAAACGATCGCCCCCATCATGGGACACACCAACTCTGCATCTCTCCTGGTGGGATGCACCATTACCTTAGGGGGTATTTTTGCCCAAAGTGCATAACCTGAATTTAACTCTTGAAGTTGAGAGACAGTCACTCAACATCCAGACAGGACCCTTCAAAAATATCACAGTCGGGAAGCCAGCAAATGGTGAGGAATTGTTCCTGATTAAATGAAATTCAAGAGACATAAATAAATGTCCTGTGTGGCCTCTGAATCAAGAGACTGAAACTGCTATGCCAGACATTAGCAGTTATTGGCACATTGAAAGGTGGGTTATAAACAAAACAAAAGTGTTGCATCAACGCTGAATCTCCCAATTCTGGTCATGATACTCTGATTATGTAAGGGGATACATACGCCTGGTTCTTAGGAACGGTCTCCTGAAGTACCTGGAGGAAAAGGACATCATGAAGTCATCTTTAACTTATTCTCAAATGTTCAGTTGAAAAAATATGGCTTGGATAATTTACATATGTCAAAATTATATCAAAAGTAAAATTATGCAAGAAGTTATGTTTTCTCATTTCCTGGACCAGCTTCTCCTCCCAGCTACTAAAACCAAACACCCAAAGCCGATCCTGCAGAAAGCAGCCCTGTCCTCTCTGTTTCAGCCAGTGCATCAGTTGTGGTAAGTTACTCACCATTGCCCTTCGGGCTCCCGGCTTGTCAGTGTCTTCCTGGAAGACCCTAGGGGAGGTGTTACCTAATGATGTCATTCCTCTGAGATCTCATACTCTTCAATACGTTTTGTAGATTTCCTTCCAATAATCAGTTGATGAGGACATGTTTAGAAAGTCTGATCAGAATGTGGAAAATCATTCTTACTGTAAGCAGCGCAGAAGCTTTAGAAGTCATCATTCAAACATTGTCCTCCCACCTCCCCACCCTCCACCCATCTTCAGAAAATGAAGAGAAGGAAAACAATAGGGCTTTGATGACTGTGTCAAGTTTACAGAACCACTTAGTTGCAGAACCAGGTAAAATTGCCCAAATTGCCTTTTGTCCAGGACATCGTTCCCTCTTTTCTCCTCATGCTGGGGACACTGAAGGTGCAAGGTCAGGTGCCAAGGACAGGAAAATGCAGAACAACCCAGTGCACTCCTGTCTTATAACAAGAAATTCAGAATATTGTATTGCACTAACATAAACATATGTAAAATCTACCTCAATTTTCAAAATTTAAAAGCCAGCAATTCCAGTCCTGGCTATGTATCTGAAAAAAAAAAAAAACAAAACACTAATTCAAAAAGATATATACACCTAAATGTTCACAGCAGCATTATGTATAATTGTTAGAGTATGGAAGCCACCTAGGGCTTCCCTGGCTGCTCAGACTGTAAAGAATCTACCTGCAGTGCAGGAGATTCAGGTTCAATCCCTGGGTGGGAAGGAGCCCTTGGAGCAGGAAATGGTCACCCACTCCAGTATTCTTGCCTGGAGAATCCCCATGGACAGAGGACCATGGCGGGCTAGAGTTCAAGAGATTGCAAAGAGTCAGGCACGACTGAGCAGCTAACATAACACATGGAAGCAACCTAAGTGTCCATCAACAGATGAACAGATAAACAAACTGGTACATATCTATGCAGTGGAATACTACCTATCCATAAACTGAATGAAATATTGCCATTCGCAGCAACATGGGTGGACTTGGAGGGCATTATGCTAAGTGAAATAAGACAGAGAAACACAAATACTGTATGACATCACTTATATGTGGAATCTAAAAAATACAAAACACTGGTGAATAAAACAAAAAAGAAGCAGACTCAGGATCTAGAGAACAAACTAGTGGTTACCAGTGGGGACAGGGAAGGAGGGCAGGGCAATATAGGTGTAGGGGATTTAAAAAAAAGGTTGATTATAGGATTATATGAAATCATGTGTGTGAAATTTTGACAGTTGTAAAGTACTGTGGGATCCCTAAGAAAGGCAATCCCAAAGAATGCTCAAACTACCCCACAATTGCACTCATCTCACACGCTAGTAAAGTAATGCTCAAAATTTTCCAAGCCAGGCTTCAGCAATACGTGAACCAAGAACTTCCAGATATTCAAAGCTGGTTTTAGAAAAGGCAGAGAAACAAGAGATCAAATTGCCAATATCCTCTGGATCATCGAAAAAGCAAGAGAGTTCCAGAAAAACATCTATTTCTGCTTTATTGACTACACCAAAGCCTTCGACTGTGTGGATCACAATAAACTGTGGAAAATTCTGAAAGAGATGGGAGTACCAGACCGCCTGACCTGCCTCTTGAGAAAACTGTATGCAGGTCAGGAAGAAACAGTTAGAACTGGACATGGAACAACAGACTGGTTCCAAATAGGAAAAGGAGTATGTCAAGGCTGTATATTGTCATCCTGCTTATTTAACTTCTATGCAGAGTACATCATGAGAAACGCTGGGCTGGAAGAAGCACAAGCTGGAATCAAGATATGCTGGGAGAATTATCAATAATCTCAAATATGCAGATGACACCCCCCTTATGGCAGAAAGTGAAGAGGAACTAAAAAGCCTCTTGATGAAAGTGAAAGAGGAGAGTGAAAAAGTTGGCTTAAAGCTTAACATTCAGAAAGCTAAGATCATGGCATCTGGTCCCATCACCTCATGGGAAATAGATGGGGAAACAGTGGAAACAGTGTCAGACTTTATTTTTCTGGGCTCCAAAATCACTGCAGATGGTGACTGCAACCATGAAATTAAAAGACGCTTACTCCTTGGAAGGAAAGTTATGACCAACCTAGATAGCATATTAAAAAGCAGAGACATTACTTTGCCAGCAAAGGTCCATCTGGTCAAGGCTATGGTTTTTCCAGTGGTCATGTATGGATGTGAGAGTTGGACTGTGAAGAAAGCTGAGCGCCGAAAAATTGATGCTTTTGAACTGTGGTGTTGGAGAAGACTCTTGAGAGTCTCTTGGACTGCAAGGAGATCCAACCAGTCCATCCTAAAGGAGATCAGTCCTGGGTATTCATTGGAAGGACTGATGCTGAAGCTGAAACTCCAGTACTTTGGCCACCTCACGCGAAGAGTTGACTCATTGGAAAAGACCCTGATGCTGGGAGAGATTGGGGGCAGGAGGAGAAGGGGGAGACAGAGGATGAGATGGCTGGATGGCATCACCGACTGGATGGGCATGAGTTTGAGTGAACTCCGGGAGTTGGTGATGGACAGGGAGGCCTGGCGTGCTGCGATTCATGGGGTCTCAAAGAGTCGGACACTACTGAGCGACTGAACTGATGGGATTTAATATTTCATTCCAAAAAGTTTTAAAAATTAAAAAATAATAACAAAGTAATACAGAAGAAAAGAAGTAGCCTTGAAAGACACTTTGCACTTGTCAGGACTTTTGGGAACTGTCTCCTGGGGGCTCCCTGGAAGCAGAAGCTCTCAGTTAGAAACACCGAGAGGCCCCAGGAACAGCAGAGCTGACCAATGGCTCAGTCAGCAGAGCAGACTCTGGGATCATCTCATCAAGGCCCTGCCCAGTTTCCACGGCAGCAGCAAGAGTCTGTTCCGCTGCTAACAAAGCCGACTCCTTGGTGATCAGAGGCCTCGCCTGCATAGAGCCTCCAGGTGCTGCTGTGGTCAGGGACACACACACATAGATGGGCCTGGCCTGTGGATCCCCTGTTGGCCCGAGGTGTTTAAAGCCTGGAGCTTGTAGGGCCCAGCACTTTGGAAATCCAGAGGGCCTCCCCTGTTAATCTTTAGGCAAATATTTTCTCTGCTCTGCTGGCTTCGTGGTGAGTTACCCGCGTTGTGCCTCTGTGGCAAATTAATGGAGCCCAGCTGTCCTCTTGGTGGCAAGGGGACTGAGACTTTCCACCAGCAGGCAGCTTCTGCTCCCAGGGGCGGGGTCTGTCCTGGTACCAACCTCCCAGACGGGAAACGTGAATGTGGTCCTGCTGCCTCTAAGGGGAGCCAGCCTAGGACCCACGGGACAGGGCTGCCCTCGTGGACGAGGGTCCCCATTTCCGAATGGGAGACCATGGGGCTGGCCATCCCCCTGCCTGGCCTGGCGTGTGCAGCACAGAAAGCTACATTTGCAGTCCCTCCTGGGGTCGGTGATTGCTCAGTCTCAGAGGCTGACCACACGGGCTTCTGAACTGGCACACCTCACTCTGCGCTTATTTTATGTTTTGACTTCACTCTGAGTCTGAAATGTCCTCTTACCTTTCCACTGTGGGCTACCCTACACACACACACACACACACACACACACACACACACACCTGTCCTCCCTGCCCCACACCTGGATGTTGACTGGCTCAAATTCTCACTCTCTCACCCACCCCCACAGCCACCCACACACCCCTCCACAGCAGGAACAGGTCTTAAAATCCAAGCAAACAGTCCTCCCTCCAGAGGTTCTGCCGAGCAGGTGTGCTGCCATCGGAGGCATTGCCCTGAAACAGGGTTTAATCTGCATCAGTGACACCTGTTTCTACCATATGCCTCCCATGCCCACAAACCTCAGTACATTTGATACAGCAAAACGGGGAGGATGGCATGGCCATGTGTGTCTGCAAGACCCCAGAGTGGGAGATCCTGTGTCTTAGGTTGGGTGAAAAGTGACCCTGGAGCAAGGACTTGGGCACAAGAAGCTGCTTAGAGGCATGATCCCAGGACTCTGGAGAGAGTGACCTGGGAAGCCAGACAAGGAAGAATAAAGTGCCAAGAAAGAACGTGTTGACCCGCTATGGGCACTGGGGCCTCAGTCCCATGGATCCAAACACACCTCAGAACAAGTAGAAGACACTCAGTTGTCCCTAGAGACCTCCAGGAAGACAGGGAGTTCACCCCACTCCCATCTCCACCCGCTGGTGGCAGAGGGTTGCCGGGGGTCAGGGTGGAGCAGGCATAACTGTCCTTCCCACCAGCGAGTGGCAGGACTTGTTGGCAACAGGAACAGAGGTCAAGAGAGATGGGAGAACAGAATTGCCTTGTCTGGCAAAAACAAGAACACTAATTGGAAATAAAAGCAAAAATACACAAATGGGACCTAATTAAACTTAAAAGCTTTTGCACAACAAAGGAAACTATAAGCATGGTGAAAAGACAGCCCTCAGATTGGGAGAAAATAATAGCAAACGAAGCAACAGACAAACGATTAATTGCAAAAATATACAAGCAGCTCCTGCAGCTCAATTCCAGAAAGATAAATGACCCAATCAAAAAATGGGCCAAAGAACTAAACAGACATTTCTCCAAAGAAGACATACAGATGGCTAACAAACACATGAAAAGATGCTCAACATCACTCATTATCAGAGAAATGCAAATCAAAACCACAACGAGGTACCATTACACGCCAGTCAGGATGGCTGCTATCCAAAAGTCTACAAGCAATAAATGCTGGAGAGGGTGTGGAGAAAAGGGAACCCTCTTACACTGTTGGAGGGAATGCAAACTAGTATAGCCACTATGGAGAACAGTGTGGAGATTCCTTAAAAAACTGGCCATATGACCCAGCAACCCCACTGCTGGGCATATACACTGAGGAAACCAGATCTGAAAGAGACACGTGGACCCCAATGTTCATCGCAGCACTGTTTATAATAGCCAGGACATGGAAGCAACTTAGATTCCCATCAGCAGATGAATGGATAAGGAAGCTGTGGTACATATACACCATGGAATATTACTCAGCCATTAAAAAGAATTCATTTGAATCAGTTCTCATGAGATGGATGAAACTGGAGCCCATTATACAGAGTGAAGTAAGCCAGAAAGATAAAGACCAGTACAGTATACTAACACATATATATGGAATTTAAAAAGATGGTAACGATAACCCTATATGCAAAACAGAAAAAGAGACACAGATGTACAGAACAGATTTTGAGACTCTGTGGGAGAAGGCAAGGGTGGGATGATCTGAGAGAATATCACTGAAACAAGTATACTATCAAGGGTGAAACAGACCACCAGCCCAGGTTGGATGCATGAGACAAGCCCTCAGGGCTGGTGCACTGGGAAGACCCAGAGGGATGGGATGGGGAGGGAGGTGGGGTGGGGGGAGATCGGGATGGGGAACACATGTAAATCCATGGCTGATTCATGTCAATATATGGCAAAAACCACTACAATATTGTAAAGCAATTAGCCTCCAACTAATAAAAATAAATGAGAAAAAAAACGAAAAGATACACACATCACACTGTTCATGGTAGCATTATTTACAGTTGTCAGATATGGAGGCAAACTAAGTGTCCATTAGCAGATGGATGGATAAAGAAATTGTGATATATGTAATGGAATATTACTCAGCCACAAAAAGCAAACTCTCCAGGATGGACCTGGAGAGTATTATGTTTAGTAAAATAACTCAGGCAAAGAAAGACAAATACTGTATGATATCATTTATATGTGGAACCTCAAGTGAACTAGTGAATATTACAAAACAAGAACAGACTCACAGATATAGAGAGCAAACTAGTAGTTAACTGTGGGGAGAAGGAATGTGGGGAGGGGCAAGATAGCAGGAGGGCATTAAGAGGTACAAACTACTATGTATGAAATAAATAAGCTCAAGGATATAGCCAGGGAATGTATGCTCAGGGAACATAGCCAACATTTTATAGTAACTATTATTATAGTAACTTATTTATTATTTATAGTAACTATTAATGCAGTATAATCTTTAAAATTACTATGGTCACTATGCTATACACCTGAAACTATTAATAATGTAATATTGTAAACCAACTATACCTCAATTCTATAAAAGGAAAAAAGATGACTGAAGGTGATATTCAAATAGATGGACTAATGAGGCCCACCCAGAGTCTCCAAGCATCCCCATGGTCCTGATAGCAGCCAATTGTTTTCCCACGTGGCTGAGGACACGTGGGGGTTAACTGATGGAGACGAGTTTGAAGAAGCCCTAATGGCAAGAAGTCTAGGATGGAGCTGACCCATGTGACAAGAAAATTGATGTGGGCCTCCAACCCAGCCCGTGTAAGCACGGCTACTCGTGCCTTTCCTTGCTGGACCGTTCTGCAGAACGTAGCACTGACTTCCACTCACCTGGAACTTTCTCTTCCCTTACATTCAGGGACCTTCTTTGCTACTGACTCTCCTCCCTCTTCACCCCCCTTCCATGGACCCCCTGAGTTTTTTCACCATCCCTGCCTGACCCAGGTCCTTACCAGGGCTTTATCTTCATGACTTATCTCTCTCCTTGATGTTTTCTCTTTGGTCTCTTTGCCTCATTCTACAACTATCACCACAAAATATCGACCTTCACTTTCTCCTCAACCAGGGGTGATGCTTCGAGCTGCCCACCAATGCCTCCAACATAAATGCACAATCCACTTTGTTCCCTTGCCCTCCACACCCACCTGTCCCCCCTGCATCTCCTCCCTACACTGCATGGCCCTGCCTCTCATCTCATCAACAAAGGTGAACACTGCTCACACCACTGGCTCTCCACTCAGCCCCATGGGTCCACAGGATAAAGCGATGAACACAGCTGTCCCCATTCAATTCTCTTCTGTCTCTGGCTGCATCTTTGTTCCAGTTCATCTTCACATATTTGCAGGCTCTTCCTAAAATGTGATGATAATGTGCACCTACTCTGCTTCAACTTGATGGTGACTGACTTTTCACCTCCAGTCCATCTGCTTCTGCTTCACTTACTGTATAGGAGGGCATTCCTTTCTCTGCTGCTCTCTCTGTCTCCCTGTTTCTCTCTCTCTCTCTCTCTCTCTGTCTCTCTCTCTCACACACACACACACACACACACACACACACACTCATCTCCACACTATTGTCCCCAATGCTCTCAGTCAAAGATGCTCAACCTTCCCCAGGCCACTGTTCCATATCCAAACCTCAAGGCTGGTCTCACTTGTCCCCTCCTGGGAGACACACTTCCGACCAGGCTGTTACCCTCCAGACTTACTGAGACACCTCTTTTTTGATGCTCCTGTGGGTCCTCGGCATCCCTTTAAAGAATCCTCACGACTCTATATTACCATGTGGCCTCGTCGGGCACACAGGTCATGTGTCTTCATCTTGATAGTCCCAGCCTAGAGCTAAGAACTTGACACTGGGGGAAGCCCCCAAGTGTCTGATGAATACCTGGAAATGTGAATGAATGAGGCCTGATCATAATAGGCATGTGCACGTACAGTGTGACAACAGGCAACAGTCACGTGCTCTCCACTTTTCTCTTCCCCCAGCGTCTCCTAGAACCGACCTGGAGCCGCCAGCCCCCAGCTACCCCAGGTCCTCCCGGCATCCCCAACGTCAGCTCTGGGTGGAAGAACAGAGAGGAATTCTGACTGTACCTTGACTGGCAGAGACTTTACAAGTTCGACAAAATTGATTTTTCCAGGCTTGCATGGCTTGGCATAAAAGCCAGACAGATTTTTATTGAATCTGGCCTTAGGTGGTTAGATTTTTGACCTTAACGATGTGACCAATAGATTCAACCGTGAATACTTTTTGTTTTCTCATTTTCACCACATAGGCTCACTTCCCCACACAGGCCAGTGGGTTCAGATGTCCTGGTCCCTTCCCTGGGATCTGTGGTTGTCAGTAAGTGGTGTGCGCTTTTCTGAGCAGCAGCATGATGACTGGAATGGCAGGAAATGCGGACCCACTGGTGTTTAGTGGCTGTTTGTGTTTCTCAGTGGCCCCTGTAATTGGGAAGCTGTCTTGCCTTCCAGTTATGCAAAGGGTAATAAAAAGAAAATTAGGGAAAGCGTATGAGTACAACAGCAGATCTAGACCACTGATATTTTGTAATTTTGCACAAATACAATACAGATTTCCCTCCCTCCAAATCCACTCAACTGTAGTGAATACTGAACAGAGAGAACTCAGAAAGCTCCACTTGAAAATCTAAGTACAAATGAGTATCTAATCTTGCCGTCTTTGAACATGATCCAGTCCACCGTGAGCACCAATTCAATTAAGGCAGGAATCCAAGGTTGTTGTTTCTTCTGATGAAAAGCATTCATCAGGAGGATGGAAACACAGCTTGCCACGAGGAAAACGGGTCCCTTTTACGATCCAAGGATTCTACCACATCTCATGAGATTGTCTGCGGTGACCTCACCCATTCATACACATGCTACTCTACCTATCTTTAAAAAATTTCAAAAAGAAAGGAAAGAAACATTCTCCTTCTGAGAAGATGAAGAATGCAAGGGTACATTTTCCAGAAAGGAGAACCCCTTGTTTCCAAATGAAAACAAAAAAATCAAAGTTTCTATCCAGAACCTACTTCCTGTAGATTCAGCAAAATTATATAATTGAAGGGATTATTTCTTGAGAATGAAATCAATCTATAAATAACCTAGTAAGTCTTATTTTATTTTGATTTATTTTTGGCTGTGCTGGGTCTTCATTGCTGCCTGTAGTCTTTCTCTAGTTATGGCGAGCAGGGGCTACTCTCTATTGCAGTGCTCAGGCTTCTCTCGTTGCAGAACACAGACTGTAGGGTGGAAGAGCTTCGGTAGTTGAGATGCACGGGCTTAGCTGCTCCATGGCATGTGGAATCTTCCCAGATCAAGGGATCAAACCCATGCTTTCTGCACCGGCAGGCAAATTCTTAACCACTAAACCACCAGGGAAATCCCACTTAGTATGTCTTAATGTAAGCAAATGGTAAGGTTGTTGTTTTTTTTTTTATTTCACTTGGTACTCCTTTGTATTATGAAAAGTGAAAGTGTTAGTCGCTCAGTTGTGCCCAACTCTTTGCAACCCCATGGACTGTAGCCCACCAGGCTCCTCTGTCCATGGAATTCTCCAGGCAAGAATACTGAATACTGGAAAGGGTTGCCATTCCTTTCTCCAGGGATCTTCCCAGTTGAGGGATCAAACTTGGGTCCACTGCACTGCAGGCAGGTTCATTACCATCTGAGCCACCAGGCCTTTGTATTAAACTTTCTATAAAACACCCTTGAAGGGAACAGGTTACCTAGAACCATCCTCACAGTTCACACTCTTGGTTGGGAGACAGCATCTCATGGCCTACTTAAAAGCTCACATACTTTTCCAATGCACCTCCAGAATGTTTCAGTATTCTTTTTTTCTTGCTACACAACTGTAGGGCATGCAATGAAGTTACATAACTAAGCACAAAAACAAAGGCTGTATATATATGGTGCTTTGCCAATGATAAAACCGGCCAGGGTTTTAACATGTAATTTATTTACAATGTTGATGGAGTAAGAAATAGCCTCTGCTATTACTTATGCATTTGTTGATATTTAAGATCATAGTTTTTCTTAAAGTAGCGAACTTCTTTGTACTGATTTATTGCTTCCTTGGCTTTCTGTCTTCCAGGGCGGCACGTGGAACCCAGAAGGGTGGCTGTCTGTGGACGGAGGGCTGCTTCCTCCAGGTGTAAGTCTCTCCCTTCTGGAGGAGGCACTCTGGACCTCTTTGATTTCCACTCATATCTTTTCCAGAATGTTCCTTGTGTGAACAGAAGGAGGAGAAAGGGCCAGACTCCCAGGGCCCAAGTTTAGCTCTCGATCTTTACAAGCATGTTTGTTCCTGCTCTCAGAACCAGCTGGAAACGGCCAAGATGAAGTTTCGACCCTAACATTTTTCTGGCAGTCTACAAGGTTTCTGAGCTTCTTTACTTAACGCACTTAGCATCTGGACCAGCTTAACTTTCCTGCGGCGATGTTTTGGATACTTTAATGGATAGGAAGTGCCTTCTCATTTTCTCTCCTTTGGGGGAACCAAGACTCCTGCACAGATTTTCCTCTCAGGTTTGAAAAAGAGGTCTCAAGTCAAAGCCAGAATTTTTTCCTATTCTGCACATGCCATGTACCCAAGCCCCAGGAACGTCCTTCTGGGGGCGACGGAGGGCACCCTCAGAGTCCCTGTGCAGGTGGCAGGCGGAGACAAGGGCAGAAGATTAGACTCCGTGCTTCGTTGTAATTATTTTTAAATTTATGATTCTTGTCCCTTTCAGTCTTGAAGGGGCGTTCTTAAAAGTATTTTTCTTGGCTACCAGCTAAGGTTTGTTGAAAACTAAAGCCAGAGTTAGGGGAAAATTTAGAGGACAGGGAAGCGGATGGCCCCCTGGGAACAGTAAGCCTCATTTCCCGGCCTTGTACAGACACTGAAGGCCGGGGACCTAGCAGGGCCTGGAGTCCTCAGCCAGCAAAGCAACGGCCGGTGTTGACAGATGGGCCACCAGAGCTCATGGTGAAGCCAACTGCAGTCGGATGCAGAGAGCTGTGTGTGTGCGTGTGTGTGTGTGCCTGTGTGTGTGTGTGTGTGTGTGTGTGTGTGTGTGTGCGCCTGTGTGTGTGTGTGCCTCTGTGTGTGTGTGTGTGTGTGCCTGTGTGTGTAGCGTGTGGTGTGTGTTAGTCACTCAGTCATGTCCAGCACTTTGCAACCCCATGAACTGTAGCTCACCAGACTCCTCTGTCCATGGGATTCTCCAGGTAAGGATACTGGAGTGGGTTGCCATTCCCCTCTCCAAGGGATCTTCCAGGACCAAGGATTGAACCCAGGTCTCTCACACTGCAGACAGATTATTTACCATATCTGAGCCACCAGGAAAGCCCCAGATGCAGAGAAGACTCTCCCCTATTTTACACGGAGACAACTCCAAGATGAGGTGTAAAGGCAACTCAAAAAGTAACACGAAATATAGTTTCTCCAAGAAAAACAAAAGCCTTAACAAACTACAAAGTCCCAAAACCAGGGGCCAGTATCCTATGTGGAGAGCTGTCCCACAGTGAAGACCCTTCCTCAGGGATGGCTCAGCCCCTGGAGCTTCTGACAGCTCTTCGAAAACTTCCCTGCACATGAGCTGAGTCTCATCAACCCAAAGGGGACTCTGAGGGAAAGATTCGAGTTCTGTCCTTAATTTCTCTGTCTTCAATGTCAGAAGCAGAGACATACAGCCCTGGGTTTATAGTTACCAGTGGAGCCCTCTGTCCACCTCAACCTGCTCCACCAGCTGGAAGGTCAAAGGACAAAGGGCAGCCCCATTTTGGAGACTACTCAAGAATTCTAAAATACTCAGGGGTGAACTGGATGGAAAGGAAAAGGAAAAAACTCTGTGTAGAGTGGAGTGGTGGGAAATTCATTTCCAGAGGAAGTAGAATTGAATGACAGGACTTTCAAAAGAGAATGAAGCCTGCCTAATATCCTAGAACAAATTAAGGCTGCCAGAAATTCATGTGGCTTGCTTGTCAGAACACTTTTGATTAGAGTCTCATTGTAATAATTATAAATTTAGTTGGACAACTCACATCAATTCCCACTTCTGTTATTCTAAAGATACAGTCTCCATCACACCCTTTTAATTTTTAGAACAACATTCTCTTTGGCAAAATCAATGCACTGAGTTTCATACTTGTGTCTTTGGATAAATTGTGGGGCAACAACTTTCCATACTGCTGTGAGAAACTTCTCAATTCATGTTTATATTTTATATTTACTTTTATAGCAATATTTTCTACTTTTTTTAAATTACAAAATGAGATTGAGCACATAAGAACTAGTAGCACCTGGCTGATTGTGGTATAGGCTTGAAATCACTTCCTGAGCTACACACAGAACTACCAGCAAAGGACAAAGAACTTACAGTCTGGCCAGTCACTGGCTGAACATTAAGTTATGCTGAGCCACTGGTGACTTCTAGGAATCCAGGATTAAAAATAAAAACAAGGCAATGGGGACAGGGGCAGCTGAGCTGTGACCTCCAGACAACACACTTTGGAGAAAGTAGATTTTGTAGAATTAGTCCAGACAAACCATTAAACACATAAACTAACAAAACCAGCAATAGCAACAAGCCCCCAAGGAGGAGAAGGGATCACTACGGAAAATCCAGAGATGCTACAATTTAAGATTTTCTTTTCCTTTTTATTATTGGAGGCTTATTGCTTTACAACATTGTGTTGGTCTCTCCATACATCAACATGAATCAGTCACAGGTATACTTATGTCCCCTCCTTCCTGAAACCCCCTTTCATCTCCCACTCCATCCCACCCCTCTAGGTTGTCACAGGGCACCGAGTTGAGCTCCCTGTGTCACACAGCAAATGATGGAGATGAACCCAGAGTCTATTATACAGAGTGAAGTAAGTCAGAAAGACAAATATAATATATGATTTTAAATGCCCAGCTTTCATTGGGAGACAGAGAGATTGAGGGAGAGAGAGATGCAAATAAACAAGACAATGTGACCCTTACCCCGTTCCTTTTCCCTGTGATCTTTTCCCTTATTTTTCCACCAGGAAAATGGTGGAAAATAGCAACTGCCTTTGACGAGGGCCAGAGGTCTACAGAAACAGGTAAAATTTTCAAAATAAGTCTTTCAACTAAGAATCTCACAGCCAGCAAGCTATCTTTCAAAAATGAAGGCCAGGAATACTTGACTGATAGAGAGTTATGCGTTTGACCCAATTTAGGCCAATCTTAGAATTTTTTAAATTAGAAATAAGAAATGGAGTCAAGAAGTTTCCAGTAAAGGAAACTCAGACAGCCAAGGTTTTTTTCCTGAGTTGAGAGAAAAGAATGAAGCTGACAGAGAAGCAGATTTTTTTTTAATGCCTCAGTAATATCCTCTGTAAAATGGGGGGTAATTACATAGCTACTTCCTATGAAAGTGAAAGTTGCTCAGTCGGGTCCAACTCTTTGCAACCCCATGAACTGGGGTCCGTGGAATTCTCCAGGCCAGATTACTGGAGAGGGTAGACTTTCTCTTCTCCAGGGGATCTTCCCAACCAAAGGATCGATCTCAGGTCTCCCGCATGGCTGGCAGGTTCTTTAGCAGCTGAGCCACAAGGGAAGCCCAAGAATACTGAAGTGGGTAGCCTATCCCTTCTCCAGACGATCTTCCCAACCCAGGAATCAAACCGGGGTCTCCTGCATTGCTGGCAGATTCTTTACCAACTGAGCTATGAGGGAAGCGCTCCTATGGTTATGCAGAGGCTAATAAGTCAATATCTAAAAAGTGCTTAGGAGAGTGCTTTGGACATAATAAATGCTACATAAATATAAGCTACTTATTATTATTCAGTGAAATTCTAGTTTTAAGCAGGAGTAAGTGAGAGAATCTTGGCAGCACCGAAGTCTCTGTTTCTAAGATTATGTATCTTGGGAAAGTGGCATTTCAAGAAATTCTTTTTTTTAAACTTTCTTCCATATACCCTCATATTTCTAAATGAATAAAGTGTCCAAAAATGGGGAGAAAAAAGTGAAGGCCAAGGGAAATCATCTCCTCTCATGACAGTATTCAGAGCTCTGATGACCTGCTATCCAAGGAAACTGATGAGAATTATCTTTTTAAAAACCATTTAAAGCTTCTGGATGTGGTCCTAGAGGCAAATAGCAAATGAAGAGACATCTATTGAAGAAGATCCATGGAACTCCAGTAAGAAACCATACGGTAAATGAACCATGACCCTTCTCTCTTCCCCTGTCCCAGTTCAGCAAGGTTCAGACTCCACTCCAGAAAGCTGCCACAAAAAACACAGGGTTCCCTCCCCCCACCCCCCACGAGCTCCCAGGCAGAGGGCTTTCTTCCCAGAAGGAGCAGGACACCATTTCTCATCCTGCCCCAGCTTAAGAATTTGAATTCATACACACACACATAAAAGTAAAAAAGCACCAGTAAGGGGAATTTTTTCATTATATGAAACAGCATAAATGCATGCCTTTCCCATTTCTTTATTATTTTTAAAGCAATTGTATAAAATAATATGAATATAATGCAGTATCTGGCTTAGCAGATATAGAAATATAATATACATGCAATACACTGGCCAATAATAGCACAAAAGGGGTGGAGAATACAAAGCCATTTCCTGAACTTAAAGAAGAGACTACAGATGATAAAGTCATAATTACAGCAATGAATTCTTGGATTTGCAACATTAATAAATATAATAGATATAACAGCATCATGAAAAAGAAAGGAAAAGATCTATATAGGAGTAACGTTTCTATGAGTGCGTGCTAAGTTGCTTCAGTCATGTCTGACTCTTTGGGATCCGGTGGATTGTAGCCCACCAGGGTCCTCTGTCCATGAGATTCTCCAAGAAAGAATACTGGAGTGGGTTTCCATGCCTTCCTCCAGGGAATCTTCCCAGCCCAGGTATGGAACCTTATATCTCCTTATATCTCCTGCACTGGCAAGCAAGTTCCTTACCAGGGAAGCCCTTTCAGTTCAGCTCAGTTCAGTTCAGTCAGTCAGTAGTGTCTGACGCTTTGTGACCCCATGAACTGCAGCACGCCAGGCCTCCCTGTCCATCACCAACTCCCGGAGTTTACTCAAACTCATGTCCATCGACTTGGTGATGCCATCCAGCCATCTCATCTTCTGTCGTCCCCTTCTCCTCCTGCCAGCAATCCCTCCCAGCATCAGGGTCTTTTCCAATGAGTCAACTCTTCGCATGAGGTGGCCAAAGTATTGGAGTTTCAGCTTCAACATCAGTCCTTCCAATGAACACCCAGGACTGATCTCCTTTAGAATGGACTGGTTGGATCTCCTTGCAGTCCAAGGGACTCTCAAGAGTCTTCTCCAACACCACAGTTCAAAAGCCTTCATTCTTTGGCGCTCAGCTTTCTTCAGTGTCCAACTCTCACATCCATACATATAACTGTAATTGTGCAAGGGTAAATATGAAGCTTATTCTGATACGTTAAGATGTAAATAACAAACCCTAGAGTGGTGGCTTAAAAAATCAGGAAATACCATTTAGAGAAACTAACATGCTACATCAGAAAATACCCAACAAAATAGAGCAGTGAAGACAATAGAGAAACAAAAGTATCTGAGACAAAAAAAAAAAAACAATAATGAGACATTGAAATCAAAAACTAAAATGGTAGATGCAAGTCCAACTATATCAATAATGCAATAAGGGTGAATGGATTAAATAATCCAATCAAAAGTCAGACTGAATTTTAAAAAACATGACCCAACTATATACTGTCTACGAAAGATGCACTTTATACTCAAAGATGAAAATAGATTTTTATATGGATTTCCCTGGCTGTCCAGTAGTTAAGACTCTGCATGCTGACTCCAGGGGTTGCAGATCCACAGTCCGTGAGGTGCAGCCAAAAAAAAAAAAAAAAAAAAATTTTTTTTAATAGGTTTTTTAAAAAAAGGAGAAAGAAATAAAAACATGTAAAAAACATTGTCTTTGTGTGGGTAAAGGGATTAAATGCTACATGTAAACAGTACCAATTTTTCACTTGAGCAAGAGAGATTACACTGAAGAAGTCCTCAATATTACAAACCAGCATTACCAAGCATTGGCTACTTCCGTCCTAGCATGACCCGTGCATCCTGAGGGTAACACAATTCAGACCCCAAAGAGTTTCTCTGAATTTCATGCCTTATAGCCTCAAAACAGAGGGTGGCAGCAAAGGAACCCTTGTGGCCTGTGCCCCTGCCAACCTCAGAGACAGACTTGGCTTCAGAGGACATGGAGGTTTTAATCTGTGGAAGCACTGAGGCAAAATAAGTAAGTGAACAAAGACAAATGAATCTTTCCTCAGAAGGCATGAAGACAAATTCTCAAATAACAAAGCACTATTTCCCAACGGTGCCAGCCATCCATTTTCTTCCTTCTCTCTGTGTTTCAATTTGTGTTTCCAGGAGCATTCTTGAATTTTCATGGTATTTTCAACATTTCCATATTTTCTCAGGGAACATTTACAATATTAAATGATTCATAGAACCTTTAATTACATATGTATAAAATGTATGTGCATAAAATGTATTTGTTTTAAATCTGTGTAAAATGTATGTAAAGTAAGTACCTACATTTTATACATAAATATGTATTCATGTGTGTATGTATATATACACATATATTTATGTACATACATGTATGTACATGTATATGTATGTATGCACGTATGTGTGTATATACATGTGTGTGTGTATGTATCAGTATGGACCTAACATATGATTCCTTACATTTAGGATGGACATTGAATGCATCTATTATAGGAATTGAAAGTAACACAATCAGGTTGAACAAAGGAGGCATATGTGACCTACATTTTTGCTTAATATGGTAGTACGAACATTGTCTTTTACAACAGAATTTCTAACTAATCCCCCATTTCTGGACATCTATGTTGTTCCCAGTTTTTGCTTTAAAACCAGGGTTGAGATAAACAGCATTACCATCAAAGCTTTGCAAACAGTCATGGATAACTCTCTGGGAATTACTTGTTGAGGGACTTCCCTGGCAGTCCAGTGGTTGGGGCTCCAAGCTTCCAATTCAAGGGGCACGATTTTGATCCCTGGTTGGGGAGCTAAGGTCCCACATGCCACATGATATAGTAAAAAAAAAAAAAAAAGTTTTTTAAGAAATTATTTGCTGATTTAAAGGTAATTAAAAATGTTTAGCATAAACTATGCTATTTTGCAGTGACTAGTAATTATGTTAGTTTAATAACTTAAAGTATTAGTGTCTTAATTATTAAAAGTCTGTGTATAATATTGTCTTTTTCAGTTTTTTCACATACATAAGCAAATTTAATTAATCACAGGAAAAGTCATTTATGGCAGGCAATCAAATTACATCTTAGAAAATGCCCGCTGCTTTAGCTATTCTAAAAGTGGGCAATCTTAGTAAGTTGGAATTTTTTAAAAGAGACGTCTCACTCCCTCAGGGGGTGAGAATAAGTAAGCAGGTGCCACGTGTGCATGTATTTGTTTGTGTCATTTTATTTATTTATATATTTATTACTTATTATCACAACACATATGTTTTACAATGACATTTGAGTGAGCAACCGTACCACAGAAATATGCTGTTACTTGGAACATTTCTTCAATCTGTAGTTCAAATGGGAACTTTGGGTAAATACTTATTCACAAAAGAAAACTAACAGGAACAAACTTTCCATTTTTTTTAAAGTCAAGTTTACTTTAAGTGAATAATATTCGTTAATAAGGAGCAGAACCAAAGTTACTGAATAAAACCAGATAACAAAACAGTCAAAGGAAAGCTCATCTTAAAGTATTTATAGCATAACCGTCTTCTCTGGTATGAAGGCTCGTGTGTGCTATTTGCTTCTCCGGGTTATTCCCACCAACACACTAATCCTTCTGTGCTATTTTGAAGGAAACTATTCAACCAAAGAAATATATTCTCATCTATTAAGCTTCACAGTTCACTGGCACAAAACATATTTGCCAAATTGTCCAAAATCTGATCGATAGTCATATTTTGCTACTATTTTTTGAAAGAAAATATTAATATAAATCTTCCTTGACATATAGTGGAGATATGTGTGTGGTCAGTTGTGTCCGACTTTTTGCAACCCTGTGGACTGTAGCCTGCCAGGCTCTTCTGCCCTTGGAATTTTCCAGGCAGGAATATGGGAGTGGATTGCCATTTCCTACTTCAAGGGATCTTCCCAACCCAGGATGAAACCCAAGTCTCCTGTGTCTCCTGCATTGGCAGATGGATCTTTTCCACTGAGCCACCTGGAAAGCCCCACAATGGAGATACATCCCCATAAATCTATCTTAAGTTGAAAATAGCATCAGCTGAAGGTGCATTTAATACACCTAATATAACAAACATCACAGCTTAGTCCAATCCACCTTAAACATGCTCAGAATGCTTAGATTAGCCTTTAGTTGGGGGGAACCATCTAACACATTTTGTAATAAAGTATGGAATACTTAGTGTTATTTCCTGAATACAATACTGGACGTGAAAAGCAGAGCGAGTGTCTAGGCACAGACAGTTGTGAGTATTGGGTTGTTTCCTTCGTGATGGTGATGGTGGGGCTGACTGGGAGCTGTGGCTGCTGCCACTGCCAAGCATCACAAGGGGACTGGACCCCATGTCTCTAGCTGGGAAAAGATCCAAAGTCAAAGTACAATCTTGACTGAATGACTATCACTTTCGCTCCCTGGTAAAGTAAAAAAGTTGTAAGTTGAACCATCATTAAGTTGGGGGCCCATCTATATACTTATCTTCATGTGTGTGCATGCTCAGTTGCTCAGTCACATCTGACTTTTTTGTGACCCTTTGAACTGTAATCCGCCAGTCTCCTCTGCCCATGGATTTTTTTCAGGCAAAAAGACTGCAGCAGGTTATCTTCATGTGAAAGTGAAAGTCACTCAGTCGTGTCCGACTCTTTTCGACCCCATGGACTATACAGTCCATGGAATTCTCCAGGTCAGAATACTGGAGTGGGTAGCCTTTCCCTTCTCCAGGGGAATCTTCCCAACCCAGGGATCAAACACAGATCTCCCGCATTGCAGGCAGATTCTTTAGCAGCTGAGCCACAATGGAAGCCCAAGAATACTGAAGTGGATAGCCTATTCCTTCTCCAGGGGATCTTCCCAACCTAGGAATCAAACCAGGGTCTCCTGCATTGCAGGCAGATTCTTTACCAATGGAGCTTGTGACAGCATACTAAATAAAATTAATGAACACTCACCAGGAGTTTCAGACTGAAGTATACATTAGACTGAATAGCACTAAGTCGAATTCTTATGAAAGCGTGCTAGTTCACAGCTCAGGTAGTTTAAATATTTACGTGTTAATCTGACACTCGTTACTCTGACCTGAGCACCATAAATATGCAGAAACAATGCACGTTAGACAGCATGAAGACATCATTTCCCCCTACAGACACTTCTTCTATATCTTCTCTTCCAAAATCTCCATGTCTGCTATGATCTGAATGCTTGTGTCTCCCGAAAATTCAGATGTTGAAACCCTAATACCCAATGTGATGTAATAGGAGGAGGAGTCTTTGGGAGCTGATGAAGCCATGAGGGTGGGGCCTCCAGGAATGGAATCAGTGCCTTTATCAAAGAGAACACCCCCTTCCATCATCTAAGGACACAGTGAGAAGGTGCCTGGTATGAACAAGTAAGAAGCTCTTCACCAGAACCTGACCATGCTGGTGCCATGATGTTGGACTTCCAGCCTCCAGAATTGTCAGAAATAAATCTCTGTTGTGTATAAGCCACCCAGTGTGTGGTATTTTGTTTGATAGAAGCTCAAACAGACTAAGACCCTGACTGTGTGACTCACTGAGAAATCCTGTGGTTGAATGAAGCTCTGGTGGGTCCTTAGGAGAGGACTTTCAGGCGACAGACTATAGTGTGACTATTAGCCTCTTCCCAGACTATTTCCAAAAAAAAAAAATTGCTGATGATTAATGTCTCAGATCTTGCCTGAGGCCATGAATTGAGGAGTCATGCATCAGTAGAATCCCCATGAGTTATGACTTCAGTCAGGGAACCCACAACTATAACCCTAGAACTGAGCCAAGGCAGGCCCATGTGGAGTCAGTACTGGAGTGAGAGGGAGCCTCTGAGGGCGGGACCAGCCTCTCTGTGAATATTCAGTTCTCAGGTGACTCAGGATTTCCTCTGAATCCTAAGACACTTCTCTGCAGAAGAACCTTGGTTTCTCAAAACAACTCAAGAAGACATACAGTGGCCCCCAACAGCTTCCTGAAAATTAGGATCTTTTCTGCCCTGGCTCCTCTGAGGCCAGAGTTGCTTACCTCATCCTTGGTCTTATATTTATTTTCTTCCAGATTAACTTCTGGCTATAGTAAAATCAGAAAAGCACCCTGACTCCACCTGCCTCCCACCCCCATTATTGGAAGTTGGACAGAAATATCACCCCTTTAAAAGAATGGCCCTGCTGGAGCATTTAGCAAGGTTCCATATATTGTTTTCATTAGGCAGGGCTGTATAAAAATTATTTTTTTCTTAAGACAAGGCACTAATAGAAAAGGTGATTTGTCAGGAAATATAATTATTTTTTGATTAATTACATATTGTTGCATCTGCAGGAAAGTGGTGCAATAATTATATCTCTAGATGTTTCCAATCTATATTTTCATAGAGCACATGCAGTTTTATGAAATTGTATGGCAAAGAAGGCAAACCAAAAAAGAAAAAAGAAACCCACAAAATGGACACGTTCATTTTTAACTTGTAACGGTCTGAAAGCATTTGAAGCTGCATAAATGTGACTATGAGAAAGCAGAGGTTTTCCAGGCTTCCCTCAGGGCTCAAATGGCAAAGAATCTGCCCACAATGCAGGAAACCTGGGTTCATGCCCTGGGTCGGGCAGATCCCCTGGAGGAGGGCATAGCAACTCACTTCAGTATTCTTGCCTGGAGAATCCCATGGACAGAGGAGCCTGGCAGGCTACAGTCCATGGGATCGCAAGGAATCTAACACACACACAACATGTTTTATTTGTCCTTAGTTGTGTGCCTCCCGTAATAAAGAGAAGAAAGCATGTTGAGAAGTTAAGCTGCTCTTTATTTGCTGTGATTCATCTGCGCTGCCCAGCCCCTCAGCAGGGAGATGATGGTGTGAAGCTGACTTGGTCTCATTGGCAATTTGACCTGGTGAGTATGCCTGGCACGGACTCTGCAACTTGGAAGCCATCATACTGATCAGTGTGAGAGCATGGGAAGATGGTGCTCTCTCGCTGGAGATAAGGAGACAGAGATGGTGATAAGAGCCCAGATTTGTCTGTCCTTTCTTCCCTGTGACTGTTGAAGACTGGGCCATATCACAGGGAAGAGGCAGAAAATAATGCATGTATAACAGAACCTTGGGCTTCCCTGGTGGCTGAGAAGGTAAAAAAATCTGCCTGCAGTGCAGGAGACCCAGGTTCGATCCCTGGGTCAGAAAGATCCCCAGGAGAAGCGAATGGCAATCCACTCCAGTATTTCTGCCTGGAAAATCCCATGGACAGAGCAGCCTGGCAGACTACAATCCATGGGTCACAAAGAATTGTACATGACTAAGCAACTATCAATTTTACTTTTAATCAGAACCTTAACAAATGGAC